TATATCCCGGTATAACTTGGTGCACATAACAACCATAGCACAAGGAAGAGATTAGTTGAAAATTATTCAAATCGGACTAAAATTATACCCACTTCCCGTATAAAGGTATATTTCAGACACCTAAAAAGTCCGATATTTCAATAACTGAAGACGCTAATTTACTCCAAGTTAATAGTTACAACAACAAAAATAAGACTGCTAAAACTTTTAGGAATTGGGCGTGGCACTGCCTACTTTATGACTACAAGGTGCATCTCGGTAGATTTCTACCAACTTGTCAAAAAAGTTTGAAGACGGGAAAAACCCCCCTGCTTATCATGCAAATGTAGTTTAGAGAAAGTTGAAACGACGATATTTGATACCTGCGCCGGGTATACAAGGTTCGGTTTTTAAGTAAAATTGATTGTTCTAACGGTAACAAGAGATTTGCCGAGATATGCTATTTAATTGTTCTCCCAAATATCCACGGATTTGATTCTCTTACAAAGCACTTGGACCCCTTTTTGGTCTAGTTACAAGACAATTAGCCTCCTGGTTGCTATTTGCAGGCAATCAGTCTTATCTTTCCTATAGTTAAAATAAATATATAGTAAAAATATTTATTGCATGCAGAAAAAAATATTAATTTCGTATGAAAAAGTGGCGAACAAACCAAACTACTTACATAGGTGAGCGGGGCATACAAAAGCAAAAAATATGAAACGAATGCACAAATTCAGCTTAACATACATACATACAAATGTATGAATAATAAGTTTACAAATACTGCGAAGCTTTAAATCATAAATACAGCGCAACAAATGCCAGTTAGTTGAACGCGAAATTTAAGCAGGATATATATATGTCGAAGTTGTTAGTAAGCTTAAAAATTTTACTTCTCGTTCTATCCCACCACAGCATGACAGCCATACACATAGTAAAATATAAAAGAATATATAAATAATACACAGCGTAGGATGAGCGCGATTGGCCACATGACAGCTCTCGCACTACCAAAAAAAAAAGCGGGGCTTAAAAAGATATGTGAATGTTTGTATTATTTTTTGTTTTCGTGGATTTAAAGCGTAAGCAGATAGTTGTTTGCAGATGTATGTATGCAGCACAAGTATGCAGAGAGAGCCTTGTAAGCAGTACAGAGGAGCGTATAGCAGGTACAGAGGTACAGCAGGTGTGCAGGTTCAGCCGTTTAACTCACAAAAAGCTCCACGGAGTTGAACGACGAAAATGCTACATCGATCGTAAGCGGCTGCTAGTCCGTGTTGGCTTTCTTTTTTTTTGCTGTATTAAAATGAAGCAAAGCTTTATGTGCCTGTGGTTGCGATTAAAATATTAGATATGCTCAAAGGATGTGCGAAGCCGTGATGCGACACCTTTTTTTTTATCGTAAATATGCAAAACCTAATTTTATTTTTTTTTTATTGCATATTTATTTTAATCGCAACAACATACACTAGTACAAAATATCTATATTAATGGCATATTAAAATAAATAGCACTTTGAAATAAAAATGTAAGAAGCATTTGAAGCAGTGCAACAGCTAGGTTACCTGGTGATCTGCCGTACAAAAACCCACAGCGTGCCAAAGCGACTTGAGGATGGATATTGGTTAAGGGGGATGTCAAAGGGGTTTTGAAATTTCAGTTTCATATGTAGTTGTAAATTGTTGGTTGTATATTCTTAAATTTTTACGAATTTATTACCTAACATGTTTTATCCATTTGTTCTTTATTTGTCTAAAAAAATAAATATGTATTTTTATAAAAGTAACAACTCAAAATTTAAGAAGCGATTTTAGTACTCAACTCAAAAAGAAGTAGTACTTAAAAATTACTAAAGTAACAAGTTTATTTTAATTATATTTTACGGTAATTTTATTAAATTTTGGTTACATTTTTAATTGTATCCTATTTTTGATAGGTGTGCTAATGTGTGCTTAGATAGACATACATACATATATATGTAGGTGATTAGATGTATTTTTGTGGTAAAAGGCTGTGTTAAATATGTGTGTCTTTTTGATAATAAGTATGTATGTGTGCTGACATTTAAGTATTGGCTTTTGTTGAATTTATAATTTAAGAAAATTCATCAAAAAAGATATTAGATGTAGGTTAAATATTTTCTTTCGACCCTTCATCTTTGAAATGCCCAGGCTATTCTTTTAGAAATTGCTGTAGCCATATTAGGCTTGTGCTCCTCTGGCTCTCCTGGAAATGGCGTTAGGTTCGACTAGAGGCTGTGGAGAACTGTCAGAGGTTTGACCAAAAGCCTAATTTTTGTAGGAGACCCTTCAACCTGCAGTGTCCCGTAACAAAGCCTGTGTAAAATCTTAAATTCTCTTTTGGGCAGGGACCGTAACTGTTTTGTTTTTTTATAAAAAGGGTCTATAAATAATTGTTGTTGAATTTTATTTGTTCGGTAAAATAGAAAAGTTAAATTTTGAATTTTATTTTCGGCCAAAAAGAAAAGTTAAAATTCGACTTTTATTTTTTCGGTCAAAAATAAAAGTAAAGAATTGACTTTTATTTTTTGCACAAATTTAAAAATTTTAAGTTGATTTTTATTTGTTCGGTAAAAAATAAAAGTCAAATTTCAAAGTTAAAATTTATGTTATTTTTTCAGTCAAAGAAAAAATTTAAAATATGACCTTAGTTTTTTTCGATAAAATATAAAAGTTAGAATATTATTGTTTATTTACTTGATTATAACCGTTTAAGGTGAAAACTTTTTATTACGTATAATTTTAAATTTTAAATTTTATTTTTTAACGAAAAAATTAAAGTTAAAATTCAAATGTTTGACGTGAAAATAAAGGCTTCAATTTAACCATGATTTTTGATTGAAAAAAATCACGGTAAAAAAATAAGGGTTTATTGCTGAATTTTTTTAAAAAGTCCAAAGGATAATAATCCCTTAGCTAAGAAGCATGACGATGCTATATACAAACGTATATAGTTTCTTGTCGTGATTCACCGTTGGGCAAATGTACGTTATTTTGTTGTCCTTTTGGTCAGCTGTATCCTCAAAAAAGGAGAAAGTTAACAAAACGCGATCTTCAGAATGGTGGAGAAGGTACACTTAGTACATCCTCGAGCGTTTTGTACCAGGCAGGCTCACTTATAAATATGTAGATAGAAAGGCTTAGGCAATGACTTAACTCATCAAAATGGCCAGCTAGGGTTTGATGCCCATGCTTCTGTCCATTAATTTTTTCAAGTCCAGATCGGGCCCTGGTCTTTGTCTAGCTTTATTTGGGTGTGTGTTTCATGAAAGGTTGGCTCCAAGGCTACCCGTATTTAATTGCCTTTTTTATAGAAGTTTATCTTGGCTACGCGCAGAAATCGTTTGAGTACTCTGTTCATTCTTCCTTTTCCGTGAAATCAAAAGGAGGCTAGTATTTTACGGATTTGGAGGTATTGAGAATATGCGTCAATGTAAGACCGGTTTCAGGCAGATGAAACTAGTGTAAATATATGTACATATGTGGTGATTTTTAAACGAATTTACTCACGGGCACATACAATATTTTTCGGTATCTTTTTTGATGAATTTTTTTATATCCTGTTTTAATATATTTAACCTTATTTTTATTTGTTTGTGCTTCTAGGGACATACATTTGAATCACGTAATATTTATACTAAGGATCTGTAGAAATGTATAATACTTAATTTTGTGTGAAACTTTTGTTAAAAAAAATCCTTATTTCTCTTATAAAAGCATAATCAAAGTGCTGCTGTTTGTTCTGTTCAAGCGGAGAGCACCCTCATACTATACCTTTGACCTGCAATACGGCAGTGTATTTGATTTCCGCAGCCGGATTTTTTGCCACACACGTATATTCGCCGGTATGCGAAGCCGACAGCGAAGGTATGCTCAACAAAGATGAATATTGATCGAGCATTGTGACATTGGCGCCCAATAATTCGGGCAACGGTTCGCCATCCTTGAGCCAGATCAATTTTAGCGGCGGATCACCGCGCGATACACCGCATACTGTGCGCGTGCGCATACCCTCGGCAAGGCCATCTTGAAACACGAACGGTTCTATTATGGGTGGGACTGTAAGTAATACACAAGAATATCGATTATGAAATTTAAATATTCAAAATAATATTTTTATTGTACAAAATAGGCGTTAACATGGACAAATAACGGGGAACGTAGTAGTATTTCTGAATGGAAGTGAAAATGAACCAGCGTGGAATTACGATGGACCAACAACGTTGAAGAAGACGAAGTGATATTGCGCTTTGTGGAGATTTTCGTAGACACTTGCGAGTGCGTAGCTTTTATGCGTTATTTAGCTGAAAATGTTATATGGCTTCTTATTTTCTACTGTAATTTATTTTTATTTTCCAAAAATATGTAAAATTAAACCTTCGCAGTTTTTATATGATTTTAATATGTATTTTCGATTCTACTATGAGTAACACTACAATTTTTAAGCATTCCAAAGAGGAAATAAAATTTGTAATTTCAAAAATTTTGCAGGTAATTTCATTTGCAAATACTTGCATATTTTTATAATGAATAAAAAATATTTAGCCAACTTATTCGAATTTTTGTTCTTTGTAAATAAATAAAACGCATTCTTTGAACATAAAAAATAATCTTCAACAAATTCTGCTGTATATTACATACAAATTTCTGTTATTACACAAAATGCATTCCCTAATATTAAGAGAAGGAAACATACAAAACGGGCAAAATCAAAAATCGTTCAAAACTACTAATTTAGAATATATGTATATATATATATATATATGTATATCTATATTATTATATCCGTACATAAATACATACATATACGTTTGTTTATATATACGCTGTACAATTACAACAAACGTTGTGAAAATCAAAAACAATTGTACAACAAAAATGGTGTAAAAATATTACAATTGCCGAAAGAACCAAACAAAAATAAAATAAATTAAAAATCTACAGATTTTTTAGGCAGCGTCGCTTTGCACGCTTTACATCGCTACTCCATGTGTTTACCGTTAACCAGCAACGACTGCGAATTCTCCACCTCCGCCGCAGAATTTCGCACCACGCACGAATAGTTGCCCGTATGGTCGGAGCCAAGATTTTCTATTACCAATATGCTATTATACTGATCCACCTGCTTTACGGACATATGCTGTGTCGGGTCGATGGGCCTGTTGTCTTTACGCCAGGTGATGGTTAGTGGTAAGTCACCTTTCACCACCGAGCAGGTTAGTGATGCCCGATCACCCATATTCAGCTGTAGAATAGATGTCTGAAAAGGACTCAATTTTGGAGGTACTGTTGGTGGTCGAAAGGAGTCGGTGTGGTGGGTGTGGCAAAGGAAAAAATCGGAGAAATGGTTGTTTATTTAAGTTGTTGTATGTATATAATATAAAAATAATATCAAATAGACTCCAAAGCTCTCCTCGATATATAGTATGAATATTTACATACTATATTATTTTTAAAGCCCAGAAGAACTACTAACTGAAAATACTCGGCACTTGTAGGAGACATCCTCATCCTTTTAATAAATTTAAAATTTCCCAGAGAGAAAATTTCATTTGCATTTTCCACCATACATATGTATGTACGTATCGTAGTTTTTTTATTAAAACTTTTGGAAAGATATTTCTCTTCTTATTACTAATACATCCCAGATAACACAAACAATTCTCTAAAAGATTTATTATGGTTTACTAGCGCAAAACTGCTATTGGGCTCTAAAAAATAGTCTATAAAACATGTAAACAGGACTTCTTCCAAACTGTTGCTCTATTGTTAGTTTATAAATTGTATACTGGTTGGTTTATAAGGATTATACGGCAGTCTACAAGATAGAATTGTAAAACTATCGATAGTGACACCATCGATAGTATCCATATTTCAGAAAAAAAAACTATCATTACTCGTTGATAATTTGCAGCAATACTATCGATGGTGTCAAGCACTAATATCGATAGTACTATCGATAGTCAGTGTAATGATAACAACTGTTCCAAATTAACGGGGACGGCATCGAAATACAAAAAAAAAAAACAAATGATTGAGAGAATAAACACACTTAGGACCGTTTTCTCAAGCAACCTTTAACTTTAAAGCTCCCTTCATATTTACAGATTGCTTTAAATGTATAGTTGTGTCTAAAATAAAGCGTTTTATTATAGAATTTTATTTATTTGTTTATTTACATTTTTATTACAAATTGTGTAAATTTCGTAATATAATGTTTTTGATTTGTTTACAGCTAAGAAACGTATGTACATGCGGGAAAAACCGATAATAGAAATGCTTCGCTTTCAACATAGCTATAAGTTGTAAAGCAACGTTTATATATAAAGGGAGCTTTTCAATTATAGGTTGGTTGAGAAAACGGCTCTTAAAGAAGGAAGCACAAAGAAAATATCACTTATAATACAAAAATTTGGAAAGTTACCAAACCGGCGCGCAGCTAGTATAGATAGTACCATCGATAGTTTGACACCTCTACTACAAGATGAGTTTTTAAAACAATTAAAAGTTTTACAAGGCACTTTGTGTAGAGACTTTGGTCTGACACTGATCACTGCGTGACATTGTTTTTGTAAACTAAAAGGTATATGTGAAAATATAAACTGAAACTCAAACATCTTACGATATATGAATATTTCTGAACTGAAATATTGTTTGTTCTAGAAATATTTAATGGATTAAAAATACCAATTAATAATTTATGGATAAAACTTTTTTCATGAAATTTTCGTTTTTTGCCCCTATCTCGTAAATAACAAACGCTACAGAAAAATATAAATGACAAACTTGTAGGACATTCAATTTCCTACAAAAACTCTGGAATGAAAGATCGTCCTACTTCAGGATTTGATTAAAGAACGCCCTGTTTCAGAATTTTATTGAAAAACACCCTATCTCAAAATTCGGTGCAAAAACGCCCTATCTCAGCTGAAAATACAATGAAAATGTGCTGAGATGGGGCGTTTTTGAATCAGAAGTTGAGATAGGACGTTCTTCAACCAAATTCTGAAGTAGGGCGTTCTTGAAAAGTTTTCTAATATAGGGCGATTTCGAAGTGGCTGTCGAGATAGGTTGATCATCCACTCAGGTACCGATATATTCTACTACACCTAAGGCCGACTACAGTAAACGTGAGATTTTTCTTTTTACGACTGTTCAAAAAAGCCGTAGCACCTCCTAAAAGTAAAATTATTAATGAACGGTAAAATAATTATAGGAATCGGTTGAGATTTGAAAAATATGCCACTTTATTGACTCAAAGTGAGTATTTTCTCACTAAACGCCGCTGCAGAGAAAAAATATTGCACCTTTGCTGCAAGAGTGTCAATTGTTTTTTTTTTTTTGAATTAAGTATGTAGAAATAACCGTAATCTCTTCTTCTATGTTCATTAATTGCATTGCTGTATTTTCTGTAATAGAAAGAGAGAATGTGATATGTGAGTCTGAAAAACTTGAAATGCTGGATGGGCAAAATAACCTAAAAATTGTATTATAAAGTTTGGGGAAGTACCGAAGGTTTGAAGACAACTGTTGATTACCTCGGGAGAGTGTTCGCTTATGAAGCTTGAGACATCGCAGAGAGGAGTATTTTTGGTATGAACTTCGATAAAAGTGTTTTTAATTATTACTCAAGCTATATAACCCATCTATCAACTGTAGTCATAAAAGACGTTACTGCTACTTGAACTTTGACATACTTTATATAGAACATAGCCATTATCGGGATTTTTTTTGCTGCGCTTTCAATAGCTGCACCTGTTTCCAGCGTTATTATGGGTTTTGACGACCAGTCTTAAAAAAAATATTAAATATGATTTGTTTTGTATAGTCGTATATTCTTTAGAATCAATTGAAATTATGCATATTAAGATATTTGTGAGAAGGTGGCAAGTCAACTTTTTTGTTGCAGAATGGCAGGTGATAGGATACTACATCGATTTTTCACCTCTCCTGCACAATTAAAAAAAGGGCTTGACACCTTTTCACCCTTAAGAGACGATTTATTTTTAGCAAGCAAGAGCAATGCCTTTTTCTGGAAAAGTGTTTATGTGCACCTTTGGAAACTGGTACAAAACAATATCACGAAGATGACCCTAAGAAAAGTATAATTCGTATTTTTTCTCCTAAATATAAACCCCTACTTATGGTAAAGTACCGACTCGAATGGCAGCTGGTCAAATGTCGAGTTTAAAGCGGACATAGGACATGCTCGAAGAAAAGCGAATAGCTCAGTCCATATAAAGATCTCAAAGGTGGCATTAGTTCGGTGGCGGATTTAACGGTCAGAAAAAGAAGCAATGCTGACTGGGCCCCCCAACAGAAGGGAGCCAGTGCTCTCTCCAGAAACTGGCTTAAGTATAAAATCAGGAAGTTTGCTCAGAAAGTGTTTTTCGTTTGTGCATTAATCTGCCACGTTAACGATGAAACGTACATATTTATACATAAATGTGAAATTTGCAGCCAAACATTTTCTAGAAAAGCAATTTTGTTGACAGACATACATCGAGCTGAAGTTGTTTCGGATAATTTTCCGAGTATTTTGCTGGCTGGGTATACTTGCATTCATAAGATTATGGACCTGCAGTTTACTCTTTCATCTAATTAACCTCTTTGAATGCAATCAGTTTGTCTGATATGCCTGCCATGCTATTCACAATCTAACTGATTGCGTTACCTTTAATTTCTCCACATGAAAGGTTTAGTTTGTAGGTCATCTCGTTAGTGTTAATTAATGTACGAATTCAATGTTGTAAGCATGAAACGAAAATACTTCCTTAGAGAATACAATTTTTTGATGCTGAATCACAAGTTTACCAATGCGAAAGCTGACTAATTTTAAATGCTAATGCCGAAAGTGCGATCAGCTGCAAAGTCAGCTTTTGGTAGCTTTTGTGATTTCATTTGAATTATTTGAATTTAAACAAAATTTGCGCTGTACACACATACATACTTATGTATAATGCGCGTGGGAATTTACATACATAGATATCTACATACTTATGGGTCTTTCCATTTCAAATCACCCAGGCCGAGGGAAAGTAAATTTAAGTTTGCGACAAAACTCACAAGGATTGTCCCTTGAACAATTTAAGGAGACACGTATTGTTTATTTTTGCCTAGTCATTCGAATTTTTCGAATAATGATTTTTTTTTTGAGTACGAACGCTTCTTTTTTCTTCTCTTAATAGCAACTTTTGATGAAATCGCTTATAACTGCCGCGGAAAAGCTTGGATTTTACTTTCCCTCGGCCTGGGTGATTTGAGATGGAAATATGCTTATGTATGTAGCCGGGAGATCAGAATGCAGCGATATTTGGCTTGTTTGTCAGCCGAGGACAAGCAGAAGAACAGGCTTAGAGGTGGGATCGAGTTAGTGGAGTAGAGGATGTAGGTATTACTCTTATTATGAGTATTTATGTATCGAGCTCAATTTAAGAAGTCGTGCGAGACAGATCGCTTTGCTTAAACCCCCGTTTGGTATCCAGAAGAGAGAAGGGAGCCGCATTTGTTTTGCGCGGACGCGGCATCATACAGATAGCTTCTCTTCGTAATATCAAAAGCGGTTTTAAAATCAAAGGAATCCTGTATACCTTCTAAATTGCTATTGCGCAGACGATAGTGAATTTTGCCTATACCAAAAATAAAATAAAATTTTGGATTGGCCAACTACATGCAAAGCAAATTTTGATTAAGTGAATGCCTTATTCTCAGATCTCTAAAACACGAAATTCCTCTGTATCTCAAAAATTGTCTACTCTCTTAAATTTTGATTTCGGATTCGGATTCAGAGGAAAATGTTACATTAGAATTCTTTCATTCCTGTAAACTTGTATTCTTATCGACAAAACCGCAAGGCAGACCCAAGTGCATTCTATTATGGAAAAATTGTAGTCCTTTTCCCACGCCCAATACAAATTATATATCGTTGGAAAGTATAAACATTCCTTGTTTAAAAAATGCAATAATTTCTTTATTGCAGATTTAAAATTTGTAGAAAATTATACATAGTTTCCACCAAAAAGCACGGAAAAAATTCTAAAAACAATGTTTGATTATCCATCATAAGCGGGATATGAGATAAGGATTTTAAGAAAACTTGTGACTAAAGCAGAGATCACACGATTTGTGCATTTGTATATTTGTACAGATTTTTACATTTTGCCAGTTACAGAGTGGTGTTGTTTGGAAGTTTTTATACACCACTCCGTGACTGCCAAAATGTACAAATCTGTATATATGTACAAATCGTGTGATTCCTGCTATGGAAAAATGCCTGAAAATCTTTT